TTATTCTCTCATATATGGTGTGGAAGATGTCCTACCACTCGAAAGTCAAATCCCTTCACTAAGGATGGCTATACAAGAAGGCTTGACTGAAGAGGAAAATGCAAAGTTATGACTTCAAGAGTTAGAAGCAGTTGATGAAAGGAGGCTTGAAACTCAACAACACTTGGAATGCCATCAAGTATGGCTATCCAAGGCATTCAGCAAGAAAGTCCGCCCAAGTTCTTTCCAAACTGGAGATCTTATCTTGGTATTACGAAGGCCTATCGTCACAACTCACAAAACAAAAAGCAAGATCACATCAAAGTGGGATGGACCTTACGTAATAGGTCTACACCAACGACGCTTACTTAATCATGGTGGAAGATAGCTTGAAGATTGGCCCCATCAACGACAGATTCTTAAAACGCTACTACCCTTAAACCAAACAAACAATGCTCCTTGTTAGCTCGAGCTTAAAAGGTAACATTCAATGCTCCATGTTCGCACAAGCTTAAAAGGTGACACCCAATGCTCCTCGCCTACATCAGCCTAAACTGTACACAGCACAAAGCTCATCACCTACATGAGCCTAAACTGCACGGCACAATGCTCCTTGTTCGCACGAGCTTAAAAGGCGACACACAATGCTCCTTGTTCGCACTAGCTTAAAAGGCGACACCCAACGCTCCTTGTTCATATTCACATTGCAGGACTTCAAAACACGTTTCCTACATGTGACAATCACATGCCTACAGCGCGCCTTGAAGTGGGGGCATTTGTAAACATGTAAATTTCATTAAATACAAATGATGCATCACAAGGCTCCTCGTGGCATATGACTCATCAAAAATGGACAATTCATCAATGACATGTGGCACAAATCATGCAAAGGAAGTGTAAAACATTCCCAAAATTCGGCAAAAGGGAGAAAATCCCCCTTAAAATCGGGAAAGGGCCCAAAATCTCTCAAAACCGGAAAGAAAGCCAAAGCATCTTCACAAAACATGCAAGAATTAAAGATTGCTCACAAAGTAAGCAACAAGGCTTATAAATTTCGGCCAATATGAAGAAGGTAGTTGAAGCTTTCTTTCGACCAAAAGCCGAAGCACTCCTTTGAAGAATCAACAAGCCCTTGTGCTGATTCTTTTAAGACTTTGTTGCAAGCTCAAAACTTGTAACGACGTTCAATTCAAGATCAAGTCGTCAAGGCCCTTGAATCAATGAAATCTCACATCTACACCACCTTTGCCATAGCTTTGACGTGAAGACCATCCACGCGTTGTTTTCAAGCTCAAAACTTGAAACAATCGTTCAATCATTCGTTCGAGATCAAGTCATCGCGACCCTTGGATCAACAACCTACACATCTACATCAAATTTGAAGACTGGATCAAGGGAAAATTGTAAACAGAGATTGTAACCCTATAAATTCAAATCAATACAAATCTACTTTGTACACGTGTTCTCATTTTATTCGTTACAGAATTTTCATGTTTACAATGATCAAAAGTAAAACATGCGTATAATGCTATGAGTATGTTTATACCTCAATATTTTGAACATTCCCTAATTGGTTGAATTTGGTGTGCAGCTCTTGAAGGCTCCATTTTGTCATTATTGGTGTGGAGTTCTCCTTCCCAATCATTGGTTGTATGAGAGTAGTTCTATCACAGAGTAGTTCTATCACACAACAGAAACTGCATAAAAATAATGAAATACATGTTAAGTTAAAAGCTAATTTTTATACTATTAAAACATCAATCCAAAAAGTAATAAAAACAAAAAATAAAAATAAAAATGAATATAAAAAATTGTTGGACTCACTGGAAGTATAATGATGCAACCACCGATTGATCCCATTGGTTTATTTTCAGTTTCTTTCGCCTTAGCATGTTCAACCAATGAAGTGTTGATGTAGCTACAAACAAATTGAGCCCATGAATATTTAGATAACTCCTCTAACTTCTCGCAATACTCCACAATTTTCGAGTTTAATGTGCTAGTAAAGTTGCTGAAAAGCATCGTGAGGCATAACTCAAGAAGGATTAACATACCACATCCTTGTCGTAGTCAACAACTTCAGACTCTTCTTCACTCATTTCTTTTCCTTTTGCTTTTGCTTAAATTGAATTCTTTAGAGGTGGATTTGTAGCCCATGCAATTGCTTTTCAAAGTCCATTATCAAGTCTCACTTTCGATATTTTCCATTTACCAAAATACCTTTGTCGGAAAGTTGAGTTGAATCTTGGCCCTATCATTTAGGCATCTTTCCTTCATTTGGTAGCCCCAAAACCTTCGTCATTTATTTGGAGGTTATTTTGATACTTTGTTTCCCAAAGTTGAATGACTTGGTTTGATGGTTACTTTCACCATCTCATTCAAGTCGAAGTCCGACTTGACTATGTCATCCTTGCTCACATGTCCCTCGTAGAATGGCTTTATTAAGGGCCAAAATGGAGTTTTCTTTGGCAAGTCAATTTGCTTACTATTGAGGATGCCTTTCACCTCTTGAACAATTGTGTTGAAGGCATTCATGTTGCACCTAAACTACGCATGGTTTGGGTGTTTAGCTTTTCGATCACATGCCTTTCTGTTTTCTTGCCCTTTTGCTTTCATTTTTTAAGTACTGCCTTTCGCTTGTCTATGTATCCCTTTAACTTTTTTTGGGGACATGTTTCAACTGTAAAAGAAAAAAAAATATACAGTTTCTGTAAGCGATATTAATACTGTATGTATGAATCCATTAATGTAAAAGCATACAACATGAATTAGACACTACAACGAAGTGCCTAAATTCACGAACAAGAAACAGACACTATGTTGCAGTGTCTGAATCCACAAACATATTTGAATCTCAATGCACAATCATAGAACAAGAAACAAACACTACAACAAAGTGTCTGAATCCACAACCTATTTGAATCTCAATGCACAATCACAGAACAGGAATCCACAAAATTTAGAATTTGAAATGGAACACATAACCTAAGAAAAAGAGAACGGGAAGAGGGAATTAAACTAAACGACATAACCACCATGAATAAACAACACAGAGCCAACAAATATGCCGAAACAAACTAAATTTGTTATATGCCCATACCAATTTTAATATCCAAACAAGCTCAAATTCAAAACCAAAAGGTATAGTGTGCAAAATTACATCAAAGCTCTCAAAAACACAATTCAATAACCTAAAACGTAAAAATTGAAGAACTAGAAGAAAATAGGAAAAAACAAATTACCTTGAACGTGATTTCTCAGTCGCAAGTGTGAATTGTTCGTTGGAATCAGTGCAAATGCGAATTGTTCGTTGGAATTTATGGATGCTGTGCGATTTAAAATGAGGGAGATGGAAAGGTTTGGTGTTTTAAATGATAATGGCATCATTTGTAATTTTAATTTGATTGAGGTGCTTTAATGCATCTTAAAGTCTCATTGACCTATTTATAATTCCAATAAATTTGATTGACCTATTGTTAGTATCATAACTTTTAATTGATTTTATACAAAATCACCCATAATTTTTTAACGAGTAAATTGTAGCAATAGTCCCTGAACTTTAATCAAATTGGAGCAATGGTCCCTCAACTAAAAATCCATTACCATTGGTCCTTCAACTTATCAAAATGTATAGCTATAGTCCTTTTCATCAATTTCTTCAAAATTTTGTCAAAATATGTTATGTTGGAATAACCATTTATATAATTAGGGTCCCTCAACTCATCAAAGTATGTAATTATGGTCATTTTCGTCAACTACGTAAAATTTTTTGTCAAAACGATTTATGTTGGAAGGACCATTGCTACAATTAGGTTAAAGTTAAGGGACAATTTCTCCAGTTGAATTAAAGTTGAGGGACCAAATGTAATGGATTTTTAGTTGAGGGACCATAGCTGCACGTTTTGATGAGTTGAAGGACCAAAGGTAATGGATTTTTAGTTGAGGGACCATTGCTCCAATTTGATTAAAGTTCAGGGACCATAGCTACAATTTACTCTTTTTTAACACACATATCTCACCATTTGTATAGTGACATATGGTGTACCACCCCGTGTTCCAGTCACGTTGAAAAATCTCTCGATAAAGAACATATCTCATCATACTTAATATTAAAATATGAATTAGGGTGAGGGTGGGCCTGTAAATGAGTGATTATGTTAAGTTAATAGTTTTGACGAGTGAAGTGAACTTGTGATTTGCTGCTTAATTGCTCTAATTATGTGCTTAGTTACAACTGAAGTTACATAATTTTCTCTTCAAAAAGGGAAACTGGTGATGATTTTGTCACGTCAGTCCACTTTTTGGGGGTTAAGAAGACTAAGAGAGGCATTTCAGCCTCTTTCTAGCCACTAGCTTCTGATTCACCAGCATCATGATGAATTTCCAGCTATTGTTACTCGTTTGAAAAGTACTTTTAAATGACTGAAAATGCCTTTACATAAAAAAACACTTTTGCATGATTAACTTGTATTTTTATTATGGATTGGTTTCTAAATCTTTTTTCAAAAAACGATTTCAATCATTTAAAAGCGCTTTTAAAGAAAATATTTTTGGATTTCAAAAGTACAGTGTTTTTACATGACTAAGTTGCATTTTTTCTAATGACGTTTTCAGTCACTTAAGACTGCAATTTGAGAAAATGTCTTTGAAGTGCTTTTTCCGAGATTAATATATTTTTACTAACAATTGATCTAAAACACTTTTTCTAAAAGAGCTTTCACTCATTTAAAAGCACTTTCAGAGAGAATATTTTTGAATTTTAAAAGCACTTTAGGTGCTTAAGCACCGGTTTGCACATAATTGATGTTTCTTGTAGGAAGCAGTTCAAGTGTTTTTTTCAAGATTAACTTGCATTTTTATTAAAAATTATTTTCTAAAACATTTTTTTATAAAAACAATAGAACTTTTCAAACGAGTGTAACCCCCACTACATACACATACGAACAATGGGACTTAACTGAAACAAACAGAAAACCACGAGGACTTAATGGTAATAATGAAAAGCCCCAAATCCTAATTTCTCTGTATATTACGATGGGGGTTTGAGTCTTCACCAAAACCCTCCCTGCGCGTATCCTCTAGCTCCAGCTCTCATGGCGTTTGGCAATCTGCCTGCTATGAAATGAGCTTCCGGATTCCGCTTTTAGTTTCCCACTTGATTTACAGTTATCTCTTTAAATTACTTTTACCGTAGACCAATATTTTTACCAAATTGAAGTGAGAAGAAAAGCAAACCTAAATTTTCACCGGCGAACCAGTTAAAGGTAAATTCCATTTTTCTATGCTCCTTGTTCTTAATTTCTGTTCATTTAATTTTTTAATTTTTAGTTATTTTTCTTTTTTAATTTTTTAGGAATTACTATCGTGGATAAAATTGAGTGAACAGAAATCAATTGGATTTTGGAACATCTATTTGGAGAAGCAGAAAGTTAGAGAGAAGAGGATTATTTGCTCAATTTCCGAAAGTATAGAATTATCTAATTTCAAGATTAACACTTTTTCATAAAAGGATCAATACATAATACAAAGAAAGAAAAACTCGAAAAATGTCGTGGTTAAGGTGTAATGAGAATTGTATAGTCCAACACCCTTTTGAGTCTTAAAGTCAGCATCATCATCCGTTACATTCTGTATATGTCGAAAATCGAAATGGAGGGGAGCTTTCGGTTGGGTTCTGTTGTATGTATGCTGTTTATATTTCATGTTCATTATGTTTTCCCCGGCTAGGTGTTCTTGCTTTATTTTAGTAAGTCTCCCTCGTATCATCGAGGTTACAGGAAAAAGGAATGTTATTGGATTCAGACTTAACATGTTAGCTTGTGGTTGTTGTGAATTTGATGTGCCTTATATAAACGTAGGACATATGCATGAGTTTGGGCTCAGGTCAGTTAAATCCTTCAATGAAATCACTATTTATTGTTCTTAGTGCCTATTTGACGGCCATAAAATCTCATACTAATTATTTACCTTTTAAACTTGTTTTCTCGCTAGTTATTTCTTTTATTGAAGAGTCTGATAGAAATTCCAAATTGTAAATTTTAGCCACTCAAGGTCTCTAGCTTGATACAAAATCTCTATGTTTATGTGTTTTTTTTTTTTTAAAAAATACTTGGAGGATATTAATTTTTTCAGGGACAACAATGGGTTACCAATTTATCGAGTGGGAGCAAGGTTGGGACTATATACAGCAGGGGATCTCAAAGATGAACAGGATTGTACAAGGATCATCAGAACATCAGTTCACCTCAGAAGAATATATGAAGCTTTACACAACCATCTATAACATGTCTATTCAGCAACCTCCTCATAATTATTCTCGGCAGCTTTATGAAAAGTATCGGGAGACATTTGAGGAATACATTTCTTCAACAGTGCTTCCCTCTCTTCTGGAGAAGCATCATGAGTTTATGTTGCAGGAGTTTGTCAGAAGTTGGGGAAATTATAAAGTTATGTTTAGGTGGCTGTCACACGTCTTTCGTTTTTCTGATGACCACTGCATCACTCAGAATCAGACATCACTTCCTGGGCCAAACGAAGTTGCACTTAATTGCTTCCGTAATTTGGTTTATCAGAAGGTAAATGCTGATGTGAGATATTATGTACTTGGCCTTATTGATAAAGAACGCGAGGGAGAGAAAATTGACAGAGCACTACTGAAGAATGTGATAAATATATATGTTGAAATTGGAATGGGAGAATTGGATGTGTATGAAAGGGACTTCGAAGAATACATGCTCATTCAGACTCGCGAGTACTATTGCCACAAAACATCAAGTTGGATTTTGGAGTACTCTTATACGGATTACATGTTGAAGGCTGAAGAATGCTTGAGAAGGGAGAAGGATAGAGTTTCTTATTACCTGCTTCCAAGCAGTGAGAAGAAGCTAATGGAGACAGTGAAACATTGGTTGGTAGTGATTCATGCAAATCAACTGATTGAGAAGAAACATTCTGAATCTGGATGTGCTTTGCTTACAATTGAAAATTTGGAGGAGCTTTCTAGGAGATTTATTGCTAGTGTGGCACTGGAACAGCAAGTTCCTGCTGAAGGTTCGACTATTGTTCAACAGGCTGAAGATGCTGTAATGATTGAGGAGTGAGATGAGTCACACTACAACAATTGAACGATAAAAAATGGTAACATAGTGTAGTTATCATGAGTTTTACTTTTGGATATGCTGCGAATTATGTGCAGCTATTTTGAAATCCTTGAGTTTAACTACCTTGGTGCCATTTGTGTCTTGGAAATGTTGCCCTTGTGGCATTTAAATGGATATATTTCTAACAATTTTTTGAGAAGAGATATATTTCTAACAATAGAACTCATAGTTGATAAATTCGATGCCGCTAACTTATGTCTTAGCTTTGCAAACCTGTATTCAAGCATCAAGTTGTAGTTAAAACTAATTAAATCTCATCAAAGCGTCAACGTTTAGGTTAAACTTATGCTTAGTTTGTGTACTTGTTCAAGGATTTTTGTATTTTACAGGGAACTGATTTATAATTTTTTGGTTTGATGTGTACAATATTGGTCTCCTGCTGAATCTGCAGGGTTTTTTTTTTTTTTAAGCATCGTCTGGCTATCAGAATTTATGTCGCCAAGGCCTCGATGTATGTTGAAAGACGAAATGAAAAATTTGTATTCAACTTGAAGGCAGAAGGTGGATTACTCATTGCCTCTACCTTCGTTGTATCTTGAATTTTGTGAGTTATTCAATCCATTCCATTTCTATGCACCAAACGATCCCTAACTTTCTTACTGACGACAACTTCGACAACTCCAAACCCTAATTTGTGAAATATTACAAATTCTACGATAATATCTCGGGTATGCCTCCACAAGTCACAATCATTCTTCCCATAAAATTAATTTATTGACTACAAACTACACTAGATAATTATAATTTCGAAGGATGAAAGTCAACATAGTTTACAAGAGGAAGTGATGACTTGTGAGAATGATAATCAAGCAGTATTTTAAACTAATTTAATTAACGTGAAGGTAGGTTCAAATTTGCGTGCATTTTAGACACTAGTGTCAATTTTGTATCTAATTCACAAGACATCCAATTCTTTATATCTAATTCACATATATTTCACAGAATTCCCCAGATTAAGTGGATTTAGCTTCCTCTGCGTCCGAGTTCTATAGCGACTTCTTTGACAGTATGGTTGAAGGAAAAGTCCACGTTGATCATTTAGGTTGCGTTCATTGGTTATTCTTCTCGTTTCAATCCCGTTCATATGTGTTTTCTGCACTTGTTCGTATCTAGAAATTGAAATTAGGATTATAATGCCTAATAATGTTTCCGTTACAGTTTGGACGTTATATATTGAATATTTCCATTCACAACAATGGCAACCAAAATAATGGAGTGGGCTGAAGGATGGATCTATATGCAGCAGGGAGTTACAAAGCTAACGACGATTTTAGAAGGATTACCGGAGACTCAGTTCACACCTGAAGAGTATATGATGCTTTACACAACTATCCATACATTGTGCATTCAAAAACTCCTTACGATTATTCGCAGCAGCTTTATGAAAAATATCGGGAGACATTGGACGAATACATTACTTCAACTGTTTTGCCCTCTCTAAGAGAGAAGCAGGATGACATTTTATAGCAGGAATTTGTCAAACGTTGGGAAAACAATAAAATTATGGTTAGGTGGCTTGCGCGCTTCTTTCATTATCTTGATTGCTACTTCATCGCTCGGAGGTCACTTCCTCCGCTACATCAAGTTGGGATGAACTACTTCCGCGATTTGGTTTACCGGGAGGTAAATGCGGATGTGAGAGTTGCTGTAATTCGTGTTATTGGAACAGAATGCGAGGGGGAGGAAATCAACAGAGAAGTATTGAAGAATGTGATAAATGTGTGTGTAGAATTTGGAATGGGAAAAATGGATCCTTATAGAGAGGACTTTGAAGAACACATGCTACGAGAAACTGGTGAATACTATTCTCGTAAAGCATCAAGTTGGATCACGGAGGACAATTACTCGGATTACATGTCGAAAGTAGAGGAAAGCGTGAAAATGGAGAAGGATCGAGTTTCTCATTACCTGCAATCGAGCAGTGAGAAGAAGCTGGTGGAAAAAGTGCAACATGAGTTGGTGGTGGTTTATGCAACTCAACTGATCGAAAAGGAGCATTTTGCAGGTTCTTGATCTAGTTCTTGTGCTTTTGTGGCATACTATGTGCAGTGATCTGTATTGTACATGCCATTTTACTCGTTTGATCATGGTAAAGATTTGTGCTAAATACCAGTTTAACTCTTGGATTGCTGTAAATTATGTGAAACTCTTTCAATCAAAAACATGAAAGTGAATAAAATGGAAGATATTATGAAATTACACTTTGCACCCATCTTTCATCCGTTAACATCAAGTTGATAGCGATTTTACCACTTGTAAAACAAAGGGTTAAACCATAGAAAATTCTTGCAAGAGAACAAGTGTTTGTAGTATAGAATGGCTCAAGCAAGGTCGATCTCCTCAGGGACTGATATAAACAATTTACGAGTTTTTGTGTATTTAACTTATTTAACTCTAAGAATTACACTAGTTTGACGAAACTAAATATTACTGGATGTGACTTAAACAAATATCTAAAATGGGAATTGATTTATAAGAATAATGATTCAACTTAAACAAAACTAGTAAATAAGGAAATTCAAGATAAAATAAATGACTGAAGAAAAATAGATTGACAATATGCTAGAGTTCAACCTTTACCAACAACACTCCTACGTAGCTATTCCAATTGCTTAAATAATTGAAAACACACATGCTTTGAAGGTTGGATTTTCCTTGTGTATATTTTACTTGTGACATGCAAGCTAAAAACGTATACCACTACATGCAACTTATCCATGACATTTGGATTAAATATAAACATGAGTGATTCATTAATCTTGGTGAAAATCCTTTTGTTAAACCATAAAATCCCTAAGAGCATGATATTTACCTTTGGAGAGTATAATTCTCAATCACAAGAAGCACAACCAATTTTAACGTGACATTCGTTCAAAATTGCATCCGATAACTTTTTCTAAGCATCCTAATGGTGTTCAAGCATCAAGGTACGTAGATAGTTTAATTCAGTGATTGAAAATATCAAAGCAAGCATGTAACAACACACTTAAGCAATTGAAAAATAAATCTACGTATTCATGTTGCGGCTCATGGCCTCACTCTAGCATAATAAATTAGTTACACATAATTATGTTCATACATAAGAAATTATCCATAAAACAAAAAAAAAAACAAAAAAAACGAAAACACCCGTTTTTTCCAGAAGAGCTCTCCGTTGCTCCTGACTTCCTTTCCTCTGCCTGCTGCCTTGCCTTCTGTTCTGCTGCTCGCCAGTCCGAGTCCTCCTTCCCCTGCTCCTGTTTTTCTGCACTCTCTGCCTCCACGCCTCTGCTTCTGCGCCCTCGTATTTCTCTGCTCAATTATTCTTCTTTCATTCCTTTTGTTTATTCCTTCCACATTTCCCTGTATGCCATTCTTTCTTTCTCTGTCCATGTTCTATCTCTCTTTCTCCTGCTTTATTTTTTCTCTCATGCCGTGGTCTTCCTTCCTCTCTTTTAGTCTCTCTGTCCCGCCTTTTTCTTATTTTTATCCTTTCTTTTCTCTTTTCTGCTTCTTATTTTTCTTTGATGCCGTGCTGCCATCCTTCATGTGTGCCTTCTGCCCTTTCTTTTATTTAACAAAATGGGCCATGATATGATCAAGCACCAAGGCTACAAGTGGAAGGCCAACTCATCCCACTCTTTTCTACCATCTTTTCTTTTCCCACATCCGTGTGCTGCCTCTTGTGTGTGCTGCCCTCCTGTCATTCTTTGTCCGTGTCTTCTCTTTTCTTCATTTTAATTGAAATTGATCCTAAAATAAATTTAACTTCACATTAACACAAGGTAAGGTAAAATACCACAATTTTAACACAAAAACATCACAAAGATTTTAGAAATGGATGGTATAAATGCATGAAATATATGAGTGATCAAATACCCCCAAACTTGCATTTTTGCTAGTCCTCTAGCAAAACAAAACACAAAACAAAATAAACTCAACTAAGACTAGATTCAACAACTTAGTAGGCAACTTCTCAATTACGATTTCAGAGATAAGTGCTAATCATGAAACAAACAACCAAGAACTAATCAAGAGCTCCAAAACATCATCCAATAATTAACCAAATTTCCTTCAAACAAAACGTTGAAAAAACCATGTGTGAGCTAGCCATGTCAATGCAATTCCAAGCTCCTTTAAATCATCATATGCAAACATGTGAGTTTCTCACAAGACATACGCTCATTCACTCATAAGTTTTGGTTAATGTGTTTCACTCAAGTGATCTCATTGTACATGCCGCCATATGCTTGCTTGTCCACCTAACTCGCTTATCAATATTTAAGTAATACCTTGGATCAATAGGACTTTATTACGGTTGTAATGGGGCTAAAGGTGATAGGCTAATGAAAGAAAGGATATGGAAATCAAAAATTTTGAGAAAGTACACTTTGGTAGTTTTCCAACACCTCAATATCACACCACCTCTAATTGAAAGCAAAATAATAAAACTTCGAGCACCTGTTACTCCCCAAATTTAACTTCAAAAGGAAATTTATACTCTACCGACACATTTTCAACTAATCAACACTCTCCAATTTTCTTATATTTCGATTTTTCTTTTTCTTTTTTTTTTTTTTTTCTTTCTTTTTTTTCTTTTTTTTTTTTTTTTTTTTTTTTTTTTTTTTTTTTAAACATTGAAAGAAACAAATCTGCAAAAGCTACATCACCCATCAAATTCACATTTCATTGTAATACACATGCTCCATCCATTTTTCTACATAAATGAAACCCCCAAAAGCACAACTCATGTAATACTTTCTCAAAACAATAAGGAATCGATTTTTGTGTATGGGCTCAACTCCAATATTGGAGCAAGGTAAAGAGATGTGGCTAACAAAGAAATGGCTTAGTAAAAGGCTCAATGGGCTACTACGGGTAAACATAGCATATAAGGTAGGCATGAAAGGCTCAAACGATCCAAAGATGGCCTATATCACTTCCAAGTTATTACATGAATTGATTAATGAATCGAGTAGTATAAAGCAAGTTCTAGAGATACATGTACAGTGAGATCATACGCACAAGAAGGAATGAGATTGATGCATAATGGTTCAATCATGTATAGGCTCAAAAACTCACAAGGTTTACATAATCTCACATGATTCACATATGAAACACTAAATCATGCTCAAGTTTCACATTGACAA